TTCTATGAAAGAGCATTTAGTCAAGGATATGCTACTGCACAATGCAGTCTTGGTTACTGTTATCAATATGGTGTTGGCAAGGTAAAGAATACTGAAAAGGCAATTAATTTTTATGAAGAAGCAGTTAAACAAAATTGTAGAGCAGCACAGAATTATCTTGGTAATTGCTATATGAATGGAATTGGAGTAGAACAAAATATTCAAAAAGCAATTAAATTGTTTCAGAAAGCTGCTGATCAAGGATATGCTGCTGCACAAAATAATCTTGGTCATTGTTATAAGCACGGAATTGGTAGTATAGAAAAAGATGTTCAGAAAGCAATTGAATTGTATGAGAAAGCAGTTTTACAAGGACATGCAGCTGCACAATATAGTCTTGGTTGCTGCTATGAAGATGGCATTGGAATAGAAAAAAATATTGAAAAGGCAATTGAATTATATCAAAAGGCAGCTGAACAAAATTTTGCTCCTGCACAGCATAATCTAGGTTGCTGCTATGAAACTGGAATTGGAATGGGAAAAAATATTGAAAAGCCAATTGAATTATATCAAAAGGCAGCTGAACAAAACTTTGCTCCTGCACAATACAGTCTTGGTTGTTGTTATGAAGATGGAATTGGTGTAAAAAAAGATATGGCAAGGGCAATTGAATTATATGATAAAGCAGCTAGAAAAGAGCATTCTGATGCACAATATAGGCTTGGACATTGCTATGAAGATGGAATTGGAACAGACAAAAACTTTAAAAAGGCTGTTGAACAATATCAAAAAGCAGCTAAAAAAGGGCATGCTGGTGCACAGTATAGTCTTGGTTGTTGCCATTTGAATGGAAGGGGTGTGAAAAAAAACATTCAAGTAGCACTTGAATTATATCAAAAAGCAGCTGAGCAAGGTTATGCTGATGCACAGAATTACCTTGAAAGCTATCATAGCAAGAGAAAGAGCATAAAAAATGTTATTAAAAATTTACTTCTGAAAAGAACAACCAGTACTAGTAGTAGTAGTAGGATACCATAGATTTTAAGATTATTGTTTAAGTTATTGTTACACTATACTCAATAATGTACATCTGAACTAAGATGCAGCAAGTAACAAAAAAAGATGATACAAGTTAATGTACACAATTGCTAAATGAAATAAATGTAAACAACTTTTTAAAATATCAGCTATTTAATCGTAGTCTCATACTCTTTTTCAGTACAAGGCTCATAATGCAATTTCATGGAGCTAAATTAGATTGTATCAAAAATTTCTATATCATTTCACCATACATTTATCTTGATTACATTTACTTAAATTAATCCAGACTGTTGCATGGTTAGCCTATTAAATTTGACATTTGCTGGATCTGCTGGTGGAATTTTTCTGGTAATTATAATTTTTCTTTAAAGTTTAAAATTGTCATACAACATATGTTATGCGTTTTAGCTGCCAAAGTTTCCAGTAACAATGACATGTGCTTATGCTGCGCCTTAAATAAATCTTTCTGTTGGTTATTACTTATGTAGATTTGCTAATGTTTTAGTCAGAATGCGCTTTGCAAAAATGACCCATTGTTCTACAAGTTTGATGAGAGCACTTTAATGTTTATTAGAAAATAAATTGCAAAAAAATTAAATTATATTGACATATGTAAAAGTTTGCGTTTTGTATTAAATGTTTTGTGACTCAGTTATGTCCGAATCGGGTGGTTAAACCATACGCTAAACATGTAATTGGCGACGTCGGATTATGCACACACGAAAAAAATTCATATAATTGAGAAACGCAAGCACAAGCTCTATTACCGTCTGTCAAGTTTTAAGCGTAAATAAACCATTATGCTTGAAGTAACAACTCAATAATAGCACCTGCTAACCTTATGTCTAAAGTAGCTAGCTTGCATGAAGCATTATTAACAGGTGTCAAATAATACTATTAACTGGCAGTTATATTTAAATTTCATCAAAAATACGTGGTATACAGTCGAGACGGCGTATGTGTTTTTTTTTCTGCGTTTGTTTTTGGTACATTTTTTATACCGTGGTTTTTTTCACAACATTTTACACGCAAACAAAACGCTACGGTAGCTCTTTTGTGGTTGATTTTTTTTTTTTTACAATTTTTGCCGAAAACGAATGACTGCGTCTCACCGAAGAGAAGGTTGCCTACTAATAAATTAATTTATAGTTTTGTGTGCGTCACATTCTGCGATACCAAAGTATACAAAAGCCGCTACCGCGTCAGTCAACCTTAACTGACGCGCTTAAGAGTTTAATTTGGAATACACCAAAAAGTTTTACTAAAGAGCAGGCAGGTTTCCCGCAAGTCAATTCGCAAAATATGCATTTAATAGATAAATAATGTGATCACCATCAATTCGTTTTGAAGATAAAAATCAAAGTCTTTTTGTGCAGTTAATTATTGTTTTAGAATAAATGTCACATGATATAATATTATCTGTATAAATTTACGTGTAGCAGCGGCGAATTACTCTCTCCACGATTTATTTATCGAAAATTCGTTCTAATATTTCCAGTATCAACCTGAAGAAACGCCGATCGGAGAATACGTTTTGTATCTTGGATAGTTCTGAGACTACACTGGCGTTGATGTCACATGCAGACGCTCAAAGACGGCTATGAAGAATTACGTTGACAAGTGCCATTTACGTATAGTAATAATAGAAAGAGAATGAGTAAAGCCACTTTATTGCAAAAAGTAAGTGTTGATTCTGTGTACACGTATATCATTTGTACATCGATATAGTTGATGGTTACTACTCTGATGCTTACGCGGCTCCATATCTATTCATTGCAACTTTTAGCCGCGCATTACGTAAAAAAACTGCGATCAAGGAAGAATTTCTTCTCGAAGAAATCAACAGGCTTAACAGAACTGTATTGTGCCTCAGCGCTCAATTGGAAAACGAGAGAAAGTATGTCGATAATATTGTCTACTGCTTGATGCCTCTTTTGCAACTCGCCTGCCGTCTATTTCCTCTGCTCACCTTTGTATTTTTTTATATTCACCTTTGTTGCGTCATGGTTATATCTTCTCGTTTCTTCAAACAATTTATCTGCCGACACGGTTTTACGATAAACTATAAGACGGGCCAAATCTATCGTCAGATACAGGCTTTTGACAAAGTTTACGACTCTGGATGAGAGAAAGTGCATGGGTCCATACACAACTAGCCGCCATAGCACTGGTTTTGACGTAAAAATCCGACTCCTATTTCAATTAATGAATAATACTTACGAGTCAGTTTCGATTTGTTCAGTGCTA